GACAGCTCAGAGAACTGGATATTGTGTCAATTATAATCACTTGAAAATTTTTTGTCTGATTTCTAATAATCAAATTACTTAATTTCAAGGAATAGAGACCTCTATACTGGACACAGTTAAAAGAAATCAAGATTGCAGAAAAGTAGAAAAACAAGGAGGCTTTTTACTACCATTTATCGCTGTTGGTGTCGAAAAAATGTGGTTTAAATTTTACTCTGCAATTTATTAGCTGAATAACCTTGACAAACACAGCAGCTCTTGGTTATTCTTATGAAGTGGATATAATATCTGTGCTTCCTATAGAGTTTAAATGAATATATTTGTGATCTTATGAATAATGTATAATACACATGCAAGGCACCTCTGGTAAAGACCAACAGAATTTTTTTCTTCAGTGAGTCTTTAATTCCAGAAGTAGAGATTAGGATGGCAGTGTTCAGTTGGGGTAAAAAGTTAAAGAAGCCCCATCTCAACCAATAAACTGTATGTGCTTATAATCTCAACTACATGAGAGGCATAATTATGGGAACTGAGTCCAGGCTAGACTGAGCAAAAGCCCTCTCTGATCTAAGAGAAATGGACTATTTACAACTCCCAAACTAAATATTAGAAACAGAAAACACCAAATGGATATTTCCAGAAAAAAATCCTTGGATTAAGCCATACTGAGAAAACAAACTTTTGAAAAATGTTGTTTTCTGAAGAGCCTCTTAGGAAATGTTTAGATATGTTTTCCCAAACAATGTGATACACAAGCACACCCACCCACAAACACATACACACACGTATTTATCTTTTGTCTAGAACTTAAATAAATATTGGAGAATGCCTATCTACAGTTATTCTTGGAAGTAATCTCAAGACATTCTTTCTTACAATAATTAGATAACAAAGTCAGTTATCTGTAGTTCACATCACCCACAAATAGAAGTTTATTTTTTTTTCTGGCATCTAGTTCTACTAAAAACAATATCAAATTAAAATGATAGTTTGGTACAGTGTAGGAAACAGAGCGAAGACAATGCCATCTTTTATTACTCTGCTGGAAGTCAATTTCAATTATAAGAAGATACTATCATAACTATCATTACTATTTATTCTTAACCAAGTTACTTAACTGCATTGTCTTAATATCTTCATTGAAATAACAGTAGCAATTGATAACATTTTAAAAACTAAATGTTAATATGTAATATGGCTAAAGCAAAATATTTAGCTTCAGGTTAGCTTTTGTTCATCAGAAAGCAAGAGGTACATGTTTTGATCATGTTGCCTATAATCCATGACTTATCATACCTTTACATTAAACAACACCTCATACTTTTGTGTTTTATTCACGTGGTAATATGTAGCACTATGATTGGAAAGCTAGCTCTAAAACCTTTTAACATAGAATCCAGTGGGTATTCAAGGCTTTCAGAAATCAATAAATAATGCAGTATACTATTAATGTATGGAACTATCCAAACAAAAATAGTTTACTGGCTTTCTCCCATCCACTAAAAAGTCCATGGGTCTCGATTGAAATCTCAACACTGAGTTTGTGGAGGTGTTTGGCTTATTGACCTGGTAAATTGCTGGACTCACAATGCCAAACTTGCAGTAGTCTAATTCAAATTCAGCATTCATAACAATGTTTGTTACTACATGTTGTATTTATTTCTGTTGCTGCTTGTCATGGTGCCATGAACTTAGTACCTTAAAACTAGTAAGTCAGGGCTGGGAAGGTGGCTCAGTGGTAGAGCGCTTGCCTTGCATGCCTGAGCCCCTGGGTTGGATTCCTCAGCACCACATAAGCAGAAAAAGCCAGAAGTGGCGCTGTGGCTTAAGAGATAAGAGTGTTAGCCTTGAGCTGAAGAGCTGAGGGACAATGCCCAGGCCCAGAGTTCAGGACCCAGACTGACAAAAAAAAAAAAAAGAGAGAAAGAGAAAACACACACACACACACACACACATACACACACACACAAAACAAAACAAAAAATCTAATAAGTCAGCTAATAGAGTTGCCTTTTTTCTGCAGTGAGGTTGGAACTCAAGACCTCATGTTTTTGGTAGACAAGTGTTCTACTACTTGAGCTACATCCTGAGTAGCACTGTTTTAGCTTTTGTATGTTTTTAGAGAGAGTTCTTGTGCATTTTTGTACTTTTTTATTGTAAAAATACTGTACAAAGGGGTTACAGTTACATGAGCCAGGTAATGAGTACATTTCCTATTGAGCATTGTTGCCTCCTCCTTTGTTTTTCCCCTATCATCCCTTCTCTCTCACATCCACATTTGTTAGGCAAGGAGTCACAGTTCTCCTTCATCAGCCTCCTGAGTAGATCAATGTTTGCCAGGAAGCCTGGTTTGTTTTGTGTAAACAAGGCCACACACATTTTTGGTCCTGGTTACGTTCATACCATGATCCTTCAGGCCCTGCCTCCTGAATAGCTAGAATTATAGATGTGTGTCACATTGTCTGGCCATGTTGCCATTTTGTTAATTCATAATTTTCTGTGGCTAAAAAATCAGGGCTGAGTCCAGTGCCAGTGGCTCATGCCTGAAATCCTAGCTACTCAGGAGGCTGAGATCTTAGATCACTGTTCTAAACCAGACCTGGCAGAAAAGTCTGTGAGACTCTTATCTCCAATAAACTACTCACAAGAAGCCAGACGTGGCACTGTGGCTCAAGTAGTAGGGCACTAGCCTTGAGCACAAAGAGGCTCAGGGTCACTGCCTAGGCCTGAGTTTAAGCCCAGGTCTCATTAGGCCAAAATCAATGATGACAGAGCTACGGTGTCATGTAGAACCCCAGGTTCCTTGCTTGTGGAGGATTGAGGTTCCTCCTGTGATGGCAGGCTATTAGTTTCTCTCAGAATTTAGACGTCTTTTGCATTGCTTACCCCATTGAGGTTCTTTTGTGTGGAATTCTTCACATGCTCCCAATGTTATTCCTTACTCCAGATGCTGATATAAATGGCTCAAAAATTAGGCTACCCCCACCCAGCTAATCTCCCTTTTTAAAGTTCATCGGTGACATAACATAACATTATAGGAGTGATATCCCAATTTATCCATGATGCTAAATATTCAACTGGCATGGTTACTTACCCTTTATTCTTTTCCATTTATAATTTCATAAAAAGATGATGAAAGTATTGGTTGATTTCTTTGCTATTGAAGTAATCCTTCAAATGTTCACAATCACATTTAATTTATACTTTAAAATGTATCTTTTTATCTTAGCATATGCTTATGTGTATTAATATCTATACTCATAACATTTCTTTTAAAACCAGGTTTCTGATGATAAATTCATCATAAAGGAATAATATATTTCAGTCCACCACAGGAAGTTGTTAGTGGTTGTCTGGAGCCCTGGTTTGTTTAAAAATACTTGAGTGCAAAATTTTGTATAGGGTAAGAGCTGAGCCATTTCACGATACAATGCCGGGCCTTGCAGGAAGTTTGCTATTACAGAATATGAAAATACTGAGGTAAGGGTTTATAGTGAGTTCTCATTGTCTAAGTGTTTATAAGCTGGAATTTCTTAATGGCCAGAAAAACTTAACTGCCTCTTTTGAGAATGTCCAGGGGTTTGGAGGCAATGAGAAGGGTCTTGATAGCAAGAAATGAGTTTAAACGTTGTGCAGATAAAGCACATCTTTTTCATAATTTTGCTTAGGGAAACCTAATATTTCTTCTACTGTACATTGGATCTTCTGCAAAGGTAAGCTTGAGATTCACCATTCAACCATACTCAAAATGCATGAGTGAGTGTATTCATTAAATCCTTGATCTAATATATTTCTCTTTCTCTAACATATTTAATGTGGTGTGTTTGTGTGTACGTTCTATGTTCTATGGGACTGAAACTTTATTAAAGGAGAAGCAATTGGAGAGATGGAGAAGTTGAGGGAAACTGAATCAGGGTGATTGAAACGTGTAAAAAATGGTGAAGTAGGAAATATCACTCATTTCACAAATCAACATAAACAATGTTGAACATTTATACTATAATTTTCTTGATAAGATATAAGTTCTGTATAAGTTGAATATGTAGTTGTCTAAATATTTTATCTTTTGTAGTCAAAACTAGTTGTTCCAAAATTTCAATCACTTTTTAAAGTTGACATCATGTATTTTGTCTGCAGTTAGATTTTTATCAATAGTATTTATTAACTAGTGCTTAGTATATCAGAGTCCACTGTTTACTGATCTATGAGAATTACCTGTATCTTTTAGTTAGGTAAAAGTGTGAAACTTCAAGCATTAGGATGATATCATACCTAAGTTATGTACTCTTTAACAATGGACTTTTTTGGGGGGGGGGTCTGGTCAAGGGCCTGACCTCTGGGCCTGGGCACTGTCCCTCAGCTCTTCAGCTCAAGGCTAGCGCTCTACCACTTGAGCCACAGCGCCACTTCCGGCTATTTTTCTTTTTGCTTATGTGGTGCTGAGGAATCGAACCCAGGGCCTCAGGCATGCAAGGCAAGCGCTCTACCACAGAGCCACCTTCCCAGCCCCTCTAAGTTATGTACTCTTACCAAGTTTACACTACTGCTAGAAAGGCAATCAATCATTCAGAAATGTACATTCACTCTTGATGCAAATTAGGTCCAAACCGTTGTCCTTTCTGTTTTCTTTTCATTTACTTTAGTTGTTCATCTTTACCCCCAAGCTTTTCTGTTCAATGTATAAGTAGTATTTTTTCTTTTTCTTTGCTAATTGCCTTTTCTTTAAATTTACCTGTTATAACTAGAAAGAAGTTCCTCTATTTTTTTTCAATGTTGGTGAATATATTTGAGGCAAATAAAGTGAACTGGTAGAAAGCAAAAACCACCCTTAGCATTACCTTCTAAAAGACTTCCCTGTTCTGGATAAACAGTGATTGTTCAATCAATAAGATTAAATCTCTCCACTTAGAAATAAGCAAAAATACATTTCCAATGAGAAAATTCCAGTCATCCCTTAGTTGATGCTGTTAAATGTCTAAAGAATGGGAAGAACCATTTACCTTTGCTTGATCAATAGGTACATTTTCATAGCTGTAGAAATCATCCAGGTCTTCTAAAGTGGCATCGTAGGATTCGGAATCATAGCTGATAGACTCTGGGGTTGGGGCAGTCACAGCAGCATCAAAGATGACAAGCCCTAGAATAAGTCTTGCTAATATTTTCATCTTTCAAACTTTCCTAACAGTAAAATATGAAAATACATAAATATTTAATTGATAATAGATTAGGAATGGCTTGCACATAGTAAGAATAATACATCAATGTCAACATCAAGGAACGCAAGCTGGTAGCTTTCTTTTCATAGATAATGTATTAGGTGGCTTCTGAAGTCACTGGTACCAGGTATTCAAATAAGTTCATAAACCTATTCACATTTCTATAATGGACGTTTGATATCAATGAAATCAATCAACGTTATAGAGAAAATGGAAAAAGTAGGATGTAGAAAGACTATGATGATCACAAAAGGGTTTTCTCACTTAATAAGGATTAAGTTCCTTTCATTATCTCTGGGATATAAACTTAATGATAAAGATGATGATTACGATCATGATGGCTATAACTACTCCAGCTTTTAAAGAAGTGGGAACTAAGAACAAAGGTCACTAGTAATATAAACATATTCTACCTTTTTCTTATATTTCAATACTAAAGATTTTTTAGAACAAAATAAACAAGTTCTGTTCAATTTTACTCTGAGGATAGAATACACTGTATATTACAATATTTGTGCACTGCATGCACATTATATACAATGATTTCATGCAAAAATTTCTTAACTATAGGAGTAAAATATAAGTTATATAATTCTCTACTCCTTAGTATTTCATTTTAATTCCTAACAGGAGACAGTAGGACTGTAGGGAATCTTTGACAAGATTCCCTGAGTGAAGTATTGGCACATAGAGGATTATATTGATTTATATATAGAATTATATTGATTCTTTAAATAAGTGCCATGATTTTTCCCACTGTAACTGCAAGCTTTTGTGTGCTAAATCAAGATCTTATGGTTTCAGTTGCTCTTTTTGTTTCCCTTGAAATGCATTTTAGTTTAGGAACAAAATATCCTCATGTTAAATTGTAAATATTTAAGTTGGCATATCTGAAAAGAGGTTACCTAGTGATGTTGTATTCAGGTGGCAAAATAGTGTAAAATGCTTTATCAAACATAAATTTTAAAAGCTTCTATTTTGGATATGCTTTTCAAGTACTAACACCATATATGGTATTAGTATGAAAGTGATTTCATTAAAACTGCTACTATTAAACTTAAATTCACTGGCAGAAAAACTGACCTTCAGGTAGTTGAAAGAAAGTCTTTATGAAGCAGATGTAGTCAGAAGGATAGGAAATTCCTCTGAGAATAAGTAGCAGGACAAGGAGCTCTTTTTCATCCCCTCCTATGCTCTCTTCAAATACTTTTAAAAAAATTCACACTGGATAAACTTGCTCTTTATGTCACCTGCCACTGCAGAGACCTTTGCTGGATGGCAGATTTGGAACTGTTGTAGGCAATTACTAAAACTGTTGTAGGCAATTAATAAAACAGTGTGGTTTACAAATTTTCCATTAAGCATTATTCTATATTCAAGTGGGAGACATTAATCATGGCCACTTAACCACAACAGTACTTTCCTTGTACTTTAATGACAACCTCATTGTTCAAAGAAATGATGCACGTACTTAAACCTTATCTTACTTTATACTCTATGAATGATTATAAATTTATAACCATTTGATTATAAATGGCCACATCTCAGAGTAACTTGCATTTGGCATACCTTCTAAAGCTATGAGCAATCAGGTAGTCTGTGGAAATCTGAAAAAAAATGTGAAGACTATCTGCTTAAGTGCATTTACTTTAAAATGCATGCTCAATTTTTTGAAGAAGGAATTATAACATGACTATTGTGTATCTAACAGATTAGTTGACCATTTGTTGATCATTTGCACTCTTCTATAATACTTTGAAAACTTACGCTTGTTTAAAACTTTGAAGTAGGAGAAAAAATGAGGGAAGGGTTAACAAGTTTGACAAGAAATGTACTTATTGCCTTACTTATGTAATTGTAACCCCTCTATACATCACCTTGGCAAAAAAAAACAACTTTGGATTATTTAGTTTAAAAAGACATTCTAAGTGCATGGTATCCTAGAATCATAGATATATTTAGAAATATAATAGACATATTAGAAAGAATAAAAATATAATAGAAATATCACTATTTTCTCCCTTTACAATCATATTTCTATCCATATCAATCAATACTGCCTGTCTTTTACTGCCCAAGTTGTGGTTTGTGTCAGGACTCTTGATTTAAGGCATCTATTGGAAACTACTATAATTTTATTGGCATCTGATATGACTGTTAAAGGTCAACTATTTTGCCCTGTTATTAATTCTTAAACTAATTCACAATGTTTGGCTTTCCAAAATTAATATAAATATATCCACAACAAAATTAAACCGAGCCTGTAGGATAAAAGTTCACTAAGAGATTATTAAAACAAGTTGAATTATTTTTAAAGGCTTTTTTTCTTTTTATAGTGGAGGGAAAAAGTCTCTAATCCAAGAAAAAGGCAAGTGTAAAAGCTTACCTTTGGCTCCTACTTGGTGGAGTGGCGCAACGTGAGTGAGGGTGTAGAGCCAGGGGTATTTGTCCCCTGACCAATGGGTATGAATCCTGGTCTGTGGGAGGTGGAATTTATAACACTCAGCTTTCTGTTTGGAAAATCTAACCTTCATAAAGGCTTCTCAGTCTCCAAAATCTCCAAATTATTTTATAGTCATCCAAACCAAGGTTTTGAATTTATGTTAATGGAGTTATAATACCAAGATATCTCCTTAAATTCTTTTAATAGAAAAGTGTGGCTTTAATATATCTCACCTATAACAAATTGACTCCAATTCATATCTATAACAAGCTAGAAGAAATGAAGTTAACACACAGAGGGATACATAGATGGTAACAAGTAATTTCACGTCTTGAACTTCCTTCTTTACTTTTTATTAATATTAACTGAATCTGGTAAATGTTGCAAAAACCTTACCTGTTTAACTTTGGGAAAGTAAAAAAAAAATTAAAGATATCCAAACTATTTTCATTGTCTGGAATGCTTTGATAGTAGTGAACAATGAAACTTTTGTCTGAAAATTTGAAAAGTAAAAGGCTTATTTCTAGAAAAAAGACGCATAAATACAATTTAAGTGTTTGGGTGCAGGAGAGGCTCTTTTTACTCTTATCAGAGCCAAACAAATCAAATTACATAAGAAAAAACATTTCCCCTAAATGCAAGCTTTGTTTTAGGCTTTTAATATCTGACATGGTTTGTGAAAGAAACTGAGTGGTTACAGATATGGGGAGAAAAACTATGTGTATTACATTTCCATTTCTCACTTTCACAAAGGTGAAGTTCCTAGAGAAAGAAATATAACTTGCATCTCATATTCTGATATATTTCACATGAGTCTAGGGGTCTGGTTCTTAGGCATTAAGAATCTTTCCTTCATAACTGAAATGAATGATTAGATTCAAGTTTGGTTCTGGGCCAACTGATTGGAGAGGAATCCTGACTTCAGGGCTCTCTCTCCTAGTCCCTTAACAAACTTCCCTGCCTTTCTAATCTTTGTCCATCTAGTCTATCTAGAGCATTCTTATTCATTATCTCCACCAGCCTGTTCTGTTTGCAAATGACTTACTTTCAGTCTACATTGTTTTCCTTGGGATCCATTTTATTTAGAATGGGAGCAGTGATAGCAGACATGGAATGGCATCTACCAAGACCTCTCAAAAAGCATAGAGGCCATCTTGGTGTCACAGATTTCTTCCAGGCATCCTTAACATCATATGTCACTATAGGATGGAAAAAAGGGATGGAATCTGAATTCCTATTCCTGCACTCTGTGGCAGGAATGTCCCACATTGAGTGAAATTACGTCAGATTTTATTGTTAATTCTCTCAACAAGTTCTTAAGCGGAATGCATTCATGATTTCACTATTGAGAGTGATTTTCACTGTGGGATACTGAACCTCAAATATTACATAATGCAGGATCACACACAACACAAAGAAACCGCTTGCTGCATTGGCCCACATTCCAAGATACCACTGAGATTCTGGTTCAAAATCTGTGTACCTATTAGCAGTTTTTAAGGTCTTCCAGATACTTAAAAGTAAAAAGAGTTAAGTAGAATATCTTTGAAATATCTAACATTTCTTTCCCTTCCATCATTATTTAGTCCTCTGCACACTGTTGAGTGAGAAAGAGCTAGGACCTTCTAGTCTGAGGCTGTCTGCAGGAATCTGGTTGAGCCTGTAAGATTATTTCAGAAATAGTATTGTCATACTATCCTTTGGTCAACTGTTGATATTTCAATGAGGCTTGCCTTAGGCCTTAGAGCTGTCTCTACTCAGATAGTTGGAGCCCTATATTCATGACAACTTAAAAGTCAAGACTCATCACTGTAGAATTTGAAAGCAAAAATAATAATCATTCCTCCAAGTTTCAGTCTTCCTAGTGAATTAAATTGTTACTTGCCTTATAAAATTTGTAAGTAGCTAAGTCATTTCCATTGGTCTTATCTGGTCATCCTCCAATATTTTACTGCCTGTCTTAACTGTTAGGGTTCAAGTTTAAGATAGTCTCACATGGGCCTAATTAACATTGAGCATTCAAAAAGCATTACCTACCAGGTCTGGCTGGCTCATGATAATTTTCTTAATAGATCTCAAGCTTAGTTATTACCCCCCCCAAAAAAAAATGCTCAAAGGATCAGTTGTTATGACTAGTTGTGTTTTCTAATAACTGAGGTTTTATTGCTATTTCCCTTTTAAGCCTGAAAACATTTTAGAATACCTTTTGGATATTATTCCCTATGAAATCAAAAAAATAGCATCCTGAACTGATTTAACAGAAGTAGCTTTAAACTAAACAGTCTTGTACTAATGGTCGTCGTCTTTCTGTTTGATAAATGATGATCTGAGAGCAGTCATTATGCTGAGGATAATCTGGTCTGCTCTGCCCTGGGCCCAAAACGCTACCTCATAATAGTCAAAGGAGGGTAAATACACCACCTCCCATTGACTATACGTAATAATGCCATTGTCTATGATGCACTGCTATTTTCTTATCATGAACTACTTCAGAAGCTTTCCTGTG